TTAACACCAATAAGCTCATACAATGTGACATATGAATGAGATTTTTGTAGTTGATGTGTTGAGCCGGGAAAACAGTAAAGAAATATATGTTAACACAAAGGCCGCGCCATAGCTCAAGCGGTTAGTCGCTGGCTTCCCAACGCGGCGGCCCGGATTCGAGCCCGGGTCTGGTCAAGTGGGATTTGTGGTGGACAAAGTGGCGCTGGGGCAGGTTTTCTCCGAGTACTTCGGTTTCCCCTACCAATCTTCATTCCACCAATTGCTCCACAATCACCCTCACCTATCATCTGGGGCTGGTACAATAGGCCAATCAGTGGCCGCCGTGCCAAATGGACCCAACTGGACTCCACTGCCCACTATGCGAATTTAAAAAACAATATTAGGTTTACAGAACAGGATGCACTCCTTGAAGATTATATTCCGTTACTTTGAGTATCATATATACAGTAATGCTTAACTAAGCCCGGGTACTTGGTTGAGGCACTATGCTACAAGCCGGAAAGTCGCTGGTTTGAGTCTCGATGAGACCACTGGATTTTTCAGTTCACCTAGTCCTTCCAACCGCACTATGACCCTGGAGTCGACTCGGCCTCTAACAGAAATGAGTATCAGGAATCTTTCTCGGGGTAAAGGGCGGCCGGCGCGTAAGGGTGACAACCTCACCGCCATCTGTGAGCTGATTGTCTCGAGAAAATGTGGGAGCCTCGACGTCTCACAACCCTATGGACCTCCACTGCCAGTTACAGGGATAACACTACTTTTTTTACCTTACTTTACCATAATTTTCATCGTCACCATTTTGTTTCTTCGTACAACGAAATGGTGAAAGAGGTGTAGGTCGGCTTTTAAAAATTCGATAGCAATTTTCGCCTGTTTCTTTATAATGAAGGCAGTTTTATGAACCAGACACAATGTAAGAAGTGGTTGCGAGAGTATGATAACATTAAATGGAGAAAGTGCAACCAAGTGGCTCTTAGCGTGGGCTTTATGAGTTATGTATTACTGCCCAACAGAGTGACTAACGCATTCCTCGTGAGTTTGTGTTCGACTGATGGTAATATACTTGAAGGTTGTACCAAGATTACATAGAACAATTCTGTCTTGAACATTGTAGCGAAACTTTCAAGCACATAGGAATCTGATGTAAGAAATGTTAACCCTTTCCATGTTATTCACGATATATAAGACTTAAAAGCGTGAGTTCTGTTAATCTGAATTAATTTTATCTTTGGCACAATCATTTAAATAAGCGCTTCATGTCTTTCCAAGAGTATGAAGAGCATGTTGCTGTGGAAATGTCACAGCGGAATGTGACTTATAACATTTTGTGACGGTGGTAAATTAATATAAATATTATGTTTCTGGACGATGAATAATGTCCAGAAACATAATATTTATATAGAACTTGTCGGCGAAGTTAGTGCCAATTTCTGCGGTTAGAGGGTGTCTCGTGGTCAGCGCAACGGATCTCCACTGTCGTTAATCTCGGTTTTCTAGACCGGAGCCGCTATTTCCTTGAAATATCTCTCGTTTATCCTCACGAGGCTGAGTGGACCCCGTTCCAGACCCACTGCTTCTCAGAAATTCTGGTAGTGCCGGGAATTGAACCCGGGACCTCTGGATCTGTAGCCAGGAACTCTGACCACTAGACCACATAAGCGGTGTTTGTATAGAAGGTGATTTCCTTTCATACAAAATCAACTTGCAACTATTTATGGACTTCCTTAAGAGTTCCGTATGTAGTTTCTATTCGGGGAGGGGGTTGGAAAATAAATCAACGACAGTGGAAAGCTGACAGATATATTCCATAACGGTTACTGGACTTGAGGTTGTTACAGCGGTAATTATGAGTTCTTTCTTCAGGTATATAACGCCATGTAATCCGGCGAAAAGACTATGCACATACTTTCTCATATAGAAGTAAATTCTAAAGGGTTCTGACGACGGTGTAAAACACTCGGGATTACTGGGTTTTTAGACTTTATCCATAGCCCGGTGTTTGGGATTAGCTCTTTCTTACAACCACGGTGACCACGCGGTCAAAGGCATGAAATGTCTTCACCCTCTCCAACGCAGGGATCATGGTTTCAAATCCCACTCAAAGCACGGATGTCTGCCTGCGTTTATTATTTCTTTGTGTTGTCCTGTGTAAGCAGAAGCTTTGCGATGGGCTGATCCCCCGTCCAAGGAGTCCTACCGTCTGTCTAAAATTAAGAAACTGAAGTGAAACGAAGCGTTTCATAGAAGACCTATGATTCAAGTGGGAGCAACAGGAATAGATAGATAGATAGATAGATAGATAGATAGATAGATAGATAGATAGATAGATACCCCGGTTTACTTCTGGTTATGTGAGTTAAACAACTCTTTTATTTAGTGTCCATGAGGTGCAGGTGTTTGCCTTATCTGTAATACGTCATGTGTTATAATAGAGCTTTTTTTTCTTAGACACTTGCGATTCATACACGTCCCTCGAAATAAAAGACCATGCCTCGTATTTATGCAGAAAAAGAATAGAAAACATTACTATATATAGCTATTGGTATGTTTATGAGTCTGGATACCTCAGTCGATACAGCGACGGGCTACGGGTTGGATGGCTGGAGTTTGATTCCCGACAGAAGAAAGGTTCTTTTCTTCTCCATAACGTCAAGACCGGCCCTGGGGCCCGACCTGCCTCTAATCCAATGGATACCAGGGTTAATTTCCCCAAGAATGAAGCGGCCGGGGCGTGAAGCTAAACACTCACCTCCATCTAGTGCCGAGGTGAAGAATGATGAAGCTATACCTCCACTTCCCCATATTTCTTCATGGCATAGTGCCTCACTGGGGGTATGCGGTAGCATAGTTGGTTGAGGCACTATACTACAAGCCGGAATATAGCGGGATCGAATCTCGATGAGGTCAATTTTTTCCAATTTACCTAATCCAGCCGCAGCATGGCTCTGGGGTCGACTCAGCCTCTAACAGATATCTTCCTGGAGGGCAAAGGGCGGCCTGTTGGCGCGTAAGGCTGACAATCTTAACGCCATCTGTGAGCGGATTTTCTATAAAATGTGGGAGCCTCGACGTCTCACAACCCTATGGGCGTCCAAGGCCTGTTACAGAGATTTACTTTTACTTTATAGTGTTTCATTAATTGAGCAAAGGGACAATTTAACTTTTATTGGTCTATTTTAATAGTATGCTGGATTATTCGTGTAATAAAGGTTGCAAGCCGTTCATGAGTCAAGTTCTGATGGTGACACAAGTCTTGCTACGTAACGCTGCCAGGAAACTGAGCATTCCTGCTTGTATCCACAGTCCAACTTCCCTCCATGACGCATACAAGGACGAGGAACTGAACGCTCGACTCGAATACGTATTATCAGTGTTTAGGGTTCCGAAGGACTGTCGCCTCCAGATTCAAATCTAGCACATGAATTTGTTGAAGCATGTTTCAATATTTTGAAGCACAATGGTAGCTAAATGTACCACTTCATTTCAGTGGACCATCCAATCATGTCACAACATTAAAAGAACTCTGTGTTTTCTGCCCAAAACGGTTGAGACCATTTCTGTAAGAAGTGAGATTTTCACAGCGGTGGCTATGAAGAACGCTGTCTTCTGGAATGTGGCGCGCTGTGGCTCTTGTTTAAACCGACGTTTCGGAGGAACGTATCGCTTCCATATTCATGGTAGAAAAATCCACGAGCGAGCAACCAGCTTGAGCAGGTGGTTGCAGAATGAGATTGGCAGGGCATGTGGCATGAATGACGGAGAAGAGGAATGCATATAGGATATTGGTGGGATAGCCAGAAGGAACGAGACCACTAGGAAGAGCAAGACATATGTGGGTGGGTAGTATTAAATTGGATCTTAGAGAGATAGGATGGGTTGGTATGGACTGGATTGATCTGGCTAAGGATAGGGACCTGTGGAGGGGTTTTGTGAACACGGTAACGAACGTTCGGGTTCCGTAAAATGCTGGGAAGTTCTTGAGTGGCTGCGCAACTGGCAGCTTCTCGAGAAGGGCTCAGCCCCAATTAGTTAGTTAGTTAGTTAGTGAAATAACAGCTGTTTGATGTGAGAGCCAATAATGCGAGGCGCATAAATACATTATGAGGGAATAATGCAAAGTTAATGGAATCTAAAGAAAGCTATATGAGATTGGCAGGGCATGTAGCTCACACGGGAAGGAAAAGGAGTACATAAAGGGTTTTGGTGAAAAAGCAAAAAGAAAAGAGATCACAATGCAGAATTATAAATAGGTCGGAGGATAATATTAAAATGGATCTTAGAGAAAGAGAATGAGATATTAGGGACTGGACTCATCTGACGCAGAATGGGAGACAAATGAATCTTCTGATTCCATAAAATGCTGGAAAATTATTGAGTAGCTGAGCTACTGGTGGCTTCCGGAGAAGGAGTTAGTTAGAAGACGGTACTGAACGTGGTAATCATGTTACTTTAAATGTTTTAACACCTATACTCACCTTTCGTCCCATAAAACCCATACAGCTGAAATAGCGTCCTGTAACAACTTGAGCCGAAGGCCTTAAATCTATAGTAATCTTGGTTCGTTTTTAGGGGCTCCCATTTCGAAATCGGAAAGTAGCTACTGTCAAGGACTACGACCTCCTCCTTGCAGTCATTTCGAACTCTAAATTAACATATAATATTGTCATGCGGCCCAAGATTCAATCAATCAATCAATCAATCAATCAGTCAATAGCTCAGTCATAGTTGTCCCAAATTCCACATGTAACTGTTCTTCAGAAACAAATTACACTCATGAAGGTTACTACCTTCTGCTATGTGACACTATATAGCCAGGTAGAAATTCGGCGACGTTTCGGAGGAAAACTCTGCCTCAGTTTTCACAGTCGATGCTTGCTAAGCACATCTTCAACTCTGAAGACGCAGGTATTGTGTTCCTCTGAAAGGTCTTTGAACCCATACCAGACTACACGCATCACATTCCATTAGGGTTTTAAATCCAGAATTATTTTACAGCTTACCTTTATTCAAACGGCTGTTCAGTCGCTAAGGATGTGTAGTGTTTTTACCGACAGCTAGATGCCACGCGACTGCCATGCCAACCTACTTAACAAACCACCTCACTCTTCTATGACCAGACCAGAACTGCCAGCTTAGTGTCTCTACATACTGAAAGCATAGTAACAATGCCCCGAAGCGGAACATGCCTTCGCAGTGTTGCCACAATCTGCAACGTAGGCACCAGGTACAAACATTAATTTACCTCATTCTGTATATCACGACTTACATATTTACGTAAGGTAAAAATTGTTAAGTTTTCCCTGTGCTTAACTAATTAAGCAATAAATCATGAAGAAGTATGGGGGGTGGATGTATAGATCCACGTATTCGTGACCTCAGCACTAGTTGGAATTGAGTGGTCAGCTTCACGTCCACGCCGTTTTAACCCAAGCGAAGGAACACGCGGTGCCAATTGGACAGGAAGTGAAGCCAGTCTGGACGACTTATTTTGCAAGGCCTTACCATAACCCTGGCGGTCAGGCTCCGGCTTGTCATCACGGAGACCCAGGTTCAATGTCCGGTGAATTAATTTGAATTTCGTGGTGGAGGAAGTTGCACTGGAGCAAGTTTTTCTCCGGATTTCTTCAGTTTTCCTGTACTAATAACAATAGTTGCACCATTGCTCTAACAATATAAGTCATTCCTCCGGTCCGAAGTAGGCAATAGCCATGACAGGCAGCACATTATCACACATTCGGCCATGAAGTTACGGGGTTGATCTCTGAGCTGTCACTTGGCTGGTTTCAGAGTAACGAAATTCAGTTAATTCAATTTCAATGGAAATGATTGAACCATTCAAACCCTGCAGTCCATCCGAAGAGAGAGAGAGAGAGAGCGGTAGAAAGTATAGCAGAAAAGTAGGTGAAAATGAAATGTAGAAAAGTCGTGGGAGAAGTGAAAGACGTTTTATTGCAGAACAGAAGTGTCACGGGCGCAATTTGCATGATCTGAATTTTCTAGATGTAGGTGGGATTGATTAGGACCGCCTCTTTTGTCTAGTGGTCAAAGTTCCGGGTTCGATTCCCCGGCGCTACCATATTTTCTGTGAAGTAGTGTGTCTGAAACGGGGTCCACTCAGCCTCGTGAGAATAATTGGTGAGCTATTTCAAGGAAATAGCGGTTCCGGTCTACAAAACCGAGATTAAAGGCCTTGGGGATTCGTTGCGCTGACCACGCGGCGCCCTCTATCCGCTAAAGTTGACATTAACTTCGCCGACAAGCCGCGGTCGCTCGGTCGGTATAGTTCGCTTGCGGACTACAGGCCACGGAGTTTGTTTCGTTTGTATTATACTAGGTAAATTGTACCAACTTTGCCACTTCAACAATAAATGCCGGTGTTAGAAGCAGTACGTAATATCTCTTTCTTACCAACAGTTTTGGAACCCTACAGTGAAATAGCTCTATCTCGGAAACCGTTCAGAATAGGACACATGTACTTATACATGACCTATACTGTGAGCTCCCGGAATATTGACCTTTCCTCATGAGACATCCTGCATAAGGCGATTCTTTCGCAAAGACGGAATAAAGCCACGGAACTTGAGAATATTCTGCAACCCGGCCTAGTTCGAACTGTGGTAGTAGTACTGGTAGTATCACTGATGGTAGTAATAGCAATTTTTTTTTTACTCTGTGATTTTAGTCCGCAAGCGAACTATACCGACCGAGCGACCGCCGCTTGTCGGCGAAGTTTAGTGCCAACTTTAGCGGATAGAGGGTGTCGTGTGGTGAGCGCAACGAATCCCCACGGCCATTAGACAGGAAGCTCGAACTGTGACCCTCCCAAATACAAATCTACCGCTACACCAAGCTGCGTGTTAAAAATAACATCAGTGCAATGTATGAGGTTCTGACGGCCATGAATATGGAGGTTACTGTCTTCTGCATGTGACGCTGTATAGTCTGGTACCTTCTGTATTCTGAGTTTCTGCCCTGAAGAAGGAGGCAGCACATGATTCCGATCAAACACGATGCAATACCCCGAAGGACAGTGACCATGCTGGTTTCTCAATCGGCTTAGTCTTCGATCCTGAAGGTGGAGGCAAAATGTTCTTCCTAAACGTCGGTTAATTTTCACCCGACTCACCGACGTTTTGTCTCAGATGATAGAAGTCTTTGACAGCAATCTTCTTAACTTAATGATGAAGTAACTTATGTAATTTTCTCCATTCTTCGCCTTAGTCCAACTTTAAGGCTTTGTTTTCAGATATGTTCACAGTCATCTACTATAACGAATTGTTTAACGGTGTCTCGTCCAATGAAATGTGGCAGGATGGACCTTCTAATGGTGGAGGAAGTGGTCGTGACCTACTTTATGATATTATAGTGAAATCTACGTGGAGACAATGTCATAAAACCACAGAAGACATCAGTTAATCTATTCTCACGGCCCGTACTGTATGCCGGAAACCAACATGACGACTACACACAGCAGAATTCGGCAGGAAACCAACCCTCCTGGCCTGATTAAGGCTCTATACCGGCCTCATGGAAAGCACGTAAAACATTAAAGAATGCCACTGATGACGGCTCTTGATGCCTGATGATAAGCTGGCCCAAGCTATTCCTGGTACTCATTTCTGTTAGAGGCTGAGTCGACCCCAGGGTCATAGTGCGGCTGCAAGGACTAAGTCAATTGAAAAAAATCCAATGACCTCGTCGGGAATCGAACCCGCGACCTTCCGGCTTGCAGCATAGTGCCTCAACCAACTACGCTATTGCGTCACTGCCGTTAAGAGCTTAGAATCTCATCACTCACTCACTCACGGAGCTGAACGCCTCTTGAGAAGCCGCCAGTTGCACAGCTATTCAAGAATTTTCCAGTATTTTATGGAACCCGAAGGTTCATTACTGTGTTCAAAAGAGCCCTCCAATGGTCCATATCCTGAGCCAGATCAATCAAGTCCATAGAATTCATTCTGTCTTTCTAAGATCATTTTTAATATTGTTCACCCACTTACGTTTTCGTCTTCCGAGTGGTCTCTTTCCTTCTGGCTTTCCCACCAATATTCTATATGCAATCTTCTTCTCCACCGTCATTCAAGCTACGTGCCCTGCCCATCTCATCCTCTGATTATTCTAATTATCTTAAAATCTCTTACTTCGGCAATTACTTTCCAATTATTTTCTCGTATGTCCACCGTAGAGCGGCCACAGGAAGGAAAGCGAAGTTCAATGTGAACGTAAAGACTAGTCAAGCAGGTTGAAGTACCCTTCACTGAGTGGATTTCTCAGATGTTGCTTACGTCACCGGATTTGATGTTCATGAAGCAGGTAGCAAAGCAGTAAGCTTGTTTCTTCTTTGGCTTATCCTTCGACCCTGATGATGGAGCCGACATGTTTCTCCGAAACTTCCGTTTACTTTCAGCAGACTACACGGGCGAGAAGATGGAAGAATTCATAACCACGGCTGTTAGAACCTCAAATCCTACAGTATTTTACAGCTACTCCTAAATTGCTCAGTCTATAAAACCTCTGAAACATCCACTCACTCACCCACTCACTCACGGAGGCGAGCCCTTCTTGAGAAGCCGCCAATTGTGCAGCTACTCAAGAACTTCCCAGCATTTTATGGAACCCGAAGGTTGATTACCGTGTTCACAAGAGCCCTCCACTGGTCCCTATCCTGAGCCAGATCAATCCCATCTTAATTCTTTAAGCTCCATTTTAATATTGTCGGCCCACCTATGTCTTGATCTTACCAGTGGTCTCTTTCCTTCCGGCTTTCCCACCAATATCCTACATTCATTCCTCTTCTCCACCAATTCGTGCTACATGGCCTGTCCATCTCATACTCTTGACATTGCAAGTAGAAAAATTGTGTACTGAGAGAGAGACTTTACCCTCGGAATTGGGACGAAAGAAAGTTCGAAGTGTCACGAACGCACACAGAGTAGCAGCACTCGTTCGTTAAGCTCATGAATAGTTTCGATTCTGACCAAGAGATAGCGTACTAAGCGGTAGAACAAGTTCGGTTTGTGGAGGCAGCTGGCTGCTTCGCCATTCTGGACAGGCCGCATTTGAGGTTCTCACAGCGGTGACTATGCAGAGTACTAGGATGTAATTTCGTAATAAGATAGTTCATCGACGTTTCGAAAGGACATACTGCCCCACCTCCTACTCTGAACATAGGGTCAGTACGTTCCTCCAAAATGTATAGCAGCACATCACGAACAGAATGACTGTTGGGGCTCTCTCAGAACATTGTCCACACGGTACTGGGATAAAGAAGGATGGAGCCTGAATTTTGTTGTTCTGGATCCAGTCAAAAGGAATAAAAGAAATCGAGAAGATGGGTTTAATTAAAGTAACAATGAAGGAATGAAAGAATTGGCTGCCCCATAGTTCAAGCGGTTAGTCGCTGGCTTCCCACCGCGGCGGCCCGGGTTCGATCCCGGGTCTGGTCAAGTGGAATTTGTGGTGGACAAAGTGGCGCTGGGGCAGGTTTTCTCCGAGTACTTCGGTTTCCCCTGCCAAACTTCATTCCACCAATTGCTCCACAATCACCCTCACCTATCATCTGGGGCTGGTACAATAGGCCAGAAGTGGCCACAGTACAAGGGACTTAGTCCCACACCACTAGCAATAAAAAGAAAGGAATGAAAGAAGAATAGACAAATAGCGAAAGATAGAAAAGGGGAGACACGAAACGAGTTTATCAAACTATTTATAGTAATTTTAAAACTGGTTCAAAACGTCGACTTATGTGCAGGAGTACGTCCTCCTGATTTGAATAATGTACTTCTGCGCCATCTAATGAGATATCTGAAATTAAAAGAACATGATTCCATAATAGTTCTCGTAGTAGAGTATAGATGGCAGAAAGCAACGCTTATTTGCCCATCTGAATCCGAGTGTAGTTACGTGGATTTTTGGCATGTAAGGAGCAGAATGTTCCAGTGACTATACTGAGATAACAAGAAAGGCGAAGTATAAGCCGCTGATAACTATAAATCGTTTCGGCAAGCGGGAATTTTCTTTTTTTAAGGTCCACTCAGCCTCGTCATGATGATTGAGGAGCTATTCCAAGGAAATAGCGGCTCCGGTCTAGAAAACCGAAATTAACCGCCTTGGGAATAAGTTGCGCTGACCACGC